GGGAGCCAAAAACCCGACCCGAAACCGCAACCCCGGGAGAGCCAGAGCCCGAGCCAAAGCCAGAGAGAGCAAGAGAGGAAGAGCCCCTCATGGATCTCCTGCCCATGGGGGACAGGAGATGGAACAGCCCCTTGGCAGAGCCCAATGCCCATGGAGCTGATCCATTGCAATGTTCCTCACCCCTGAGATCTTGCACCTGCAGACGGACAAACACAAAGTCCTTCAACTTCCAGTGACAACTGAAAACATCGGGATGTTATTAAAGTTCTTCTCCTAACAAATCCCAGCTGAACCCAAACCCCAGCACTGTTCCAGCTGCTGGAAAGGAACCAGCTCTGGCCCAGCTCACACCAGGACACCCTCCATCTCCGCCCAGGGTGCCACAGTAGCCTGACACCCCCAACACCCACCCTGCCCTGGGGGTCCCTTGTTGTCCCCTGTGGGTGTCCCGGAGCAGTGGGGGTGCCTGGGGCCAGTGGGTGGCACTGCAGCCCCGCAGTGACACCACAGTCTCTGACATCAGATCCAGGGTGTCAGCCCTGGAGTGCACAGTATCCCTGCACAGACCCCCCTGGACACGGGCTCTGCCAGCGTGGAGGGACACCGACATATCCCAAGGGCTGCCAGCTGCTGGCCCTGGGTGCCAGCACCCAGTGACTCTGCCCGAGAGCACCCAGGCAGTAAGGTAAGGGGCCACCCTGCTTTGGGTGAGCATGAACCCAGCCCCACACGGGTCCCAAGGCTCCAGCAAGAGCTGGGACCCCCCAGGGTCCCCCTGGCCAGGTGAGGGTTGATCAGCCATGGGGGTGGGAACAGGGCTCAGGGCTGGGAGAGCTGTGCCTTTGCCTCTTGCTTCATTCCCTACCTCCATCCCCTGGCCCTCTGGGGCTGCCAGCCCACCCTGCCTGGGTGCTGAGGGTGCTCCAGCTCCTTCATCCCTGCTCCGGGACGTGCCCAGCTCTGCAGCTCCAGGAGTTCACCCTGGAAATGTCCCTTCTCAGAATCGTAGTGGTTGGAAAAGATCTTTAAGATCATCAAGTCCAACCATAAACCCAGCACTGCCAATTCCACCACTAACCCATGTCCCTGAGCACCTTATCTACCCGGCTTTTAAATCCCACCAGGGAAGGTGACTCCACCACCTCCCTGGGCAGCCTGTTCCAATGCTTGACAACCCTCTTGGTGAAGATATTTTTCCTGACATCCAATCTAAACCTCCCTTGGTGCAACTTGAGGCCATTTCTCTTGTCCTGTCACTTGTTACTTGGGAGAAGACCAACCTCCACCTCTCTGCACCCTCCTTTTGGGGAATTTTTCTTTCCCAGTGCCCCAGCTCACTGGTGCAGCTTGTTTCCACCCTGCCCAGCTCCTGCCTGCACAGAGATCAGACTGAGCTCAGCCCCACAGACACATCTAGCCCCACAGCAGGGAGAGGTTCAGGATGTGCCCAGCACAGGTGGTTTTGGGGGAAGCTGCCAACTAAGGCACCTCAAACACCCAAGAGTCCTCCAGGCTGTGCCAAGCATTGTCCTTATCCCACCCTCTGACCCCAAGGACATGGTTTTTGCACCCAAATGAGTGTTGTGAGTGTCCCTGGGTACCCCAAGCTCCCATTCCAGTTGGGATTTAGCTGGTATTGTAGGCAGAGCTGTGCCCTTGTGCCTGCTCTATGCCCAGATGGGCACCCCAGGGTGCTCCCAGCTTCCAGAAGGGCAGGAGCCACCTCCCAGGGTTTCCACCCTCCTGTGCCTCATCCCAGGTTTGCTCCAGGCTGTAGGCAAAGCAAAAACCAGAGCAGTGCAGCTGGCACAGGCTTTGCAGAGGTGACAAGGTTGGGTTTGGGGCAACTGGTGGGACCTGCTGAGCATCCCCTGAATTTCCTGCTGCACCAATGGACCAACTGGAAAGTCCCCACAGCCACAGAGGGAGGATGTCCCTGTCCCTGTCCCTGTCCCTGCTCTCCTCACCAGCCAAACCCACCAAACACACAAGGGATGCTCTTTGCTGTTGAGCTCCCGATGGGCTCCTGGTGTTCTCTCCCTGGTTGTACCCATCCCCTGGGAGCTAATGTGGGGGTCTTCACTCCCTCCTTCCCTTGGCTTTAGCTGCTCTGAGCTTGGTGTGGGTTCCAAGTCAAAAAAAAAAACCCCAAAACCCCCCAAAAACCCCCAAGGGATGGTTTTGAATGGAAGAAAATCAAAGTTATGCTTCCCAAAGCAGACCTGCAGCATTTCCCACACGGAGCTCATTGTCTGCACAACTTCTCCCCGGGGAGGTGAACCTCGTCTCCTTGGCTGCTGCATTTACACCCTCTTGAACAGAAAATTATTGAGTGAAAAGCAGAACTGAGCTAAAGAACTTCACTTCCCAGCTCCCTGGGTGCTCAGATCTACCATCTTGGCCCTGTTTTTATTGGTTGCATGGGATGCCAGCGAGCACAAGGAGCTCCACAGGTGAGAAGCTGGAGGCAGGGAAAGGTGACTTGCCATGGACCAGGGAGGGATGCCAGATGCTTCACCTCAAATAAAGCCCGTGCCAGTGAGGGAACGTTGCTACAGGGTATTTTGGGACCAGATGAGCATCAGAAGAGTTGCCCAGAGCCAGCTGTGTTGGAGGGAATCAGTCCCCTCTGACCAGGCTGGGTGCTGGGGTGGTTGGTCCCTTCCCAGCACAGCCCTGTGCACCCCAAAAGGGGTGATCACCTGCAAGCTGGGGACCCCTCCATGCTCTCCTCCCCACCCTGGGTGCCCTCGGTGCACCCTACACACCCATACAACTACCTGGGCATTGCAAGGAGCACCCAAAAACCCTGTCAGGAAGGACAAGGGGGAGACAACCACATGGCCAGGCTCCCTTTGCACCATCCTGTGACACCCTGGTGTGGCTCAGACCCACGGGTGTCCCCTTGGGCAGGATGTGGAGAAGGAGACACAGGGTGAGGCGTGACAGTGTGGAAGCGGGTTGACCCCACATGGCTGTTGGCCATCCCAGTGTGCAGAGAAACGGGGTGCTGGTGCAAAATTAGGCAGTGGCAGAAGGTGGGCACAGAAGGAACGGAGCAGAAATGCCAGACACCCCCCACTTGTGAGCAAGAGGAGGAGCCATGACCAGTGCTGGGTGCTGCTGCATGATGGGAATAACCCTCCTAAAGAGCCACCAGCTCAGAGACACATTGGCAGCAGGGTTGGCACTGACTCCCCCCCCCCCCCGTCACCCTCGCAGTTGTCCCGCTGCTCTTTCCAATTGCATCTCATTTCTGGGACACACAGATGGGGAGGTGCTGGCCAGGGTCCCTTCCCACCTCCCCACGTCTCATTTGATGCCAAAGACACTTCAACATCTGGGACACCCTGTTCTGTCACCACCACCACCCTGACTGACCAGTGTCCCCAGCTCAGGGTATGACCGTGGTGGCTGCGGTGCAGGGGGGGTCCCTACACTCAGGACCCCGGGAGCACTGGGCGATGTGGCCTCGGGGGTTGTAGCCGCCACCAGCCCCATGATTGGCGCAAAGGGGGACGAATGCCACAGCTGAGACGGGGCCCAGGC